CTTTGCTCCAAAATCCTAAGGTCTACGCTGTGATTCACCAACAGGGGCCTGCCAAAGCCTCCAGACTGCGCCTCTCTCTGCCAGTGATACTTCAGGTACCATTGAACAGACTGGATCGTATGTCCCACGTGGCAGAGCCTTCTCTTGTTCTGGGGCCCCACTCAGAACTAGCGGCTTCCATGTCACTTGATTAACAGGCTGGGATAGCACTCCCAGATGAGGGGCGTGTTCCCTCCAAATTCCAGAGGGCCTCAGCAGGTGCTATGACCCTTTTTATTAGTGGGAGGGGCCAGCCGCAGTAACTTATCCTTCACTTTAGAAGGACTATCTCAACATGCCCCACACCACTAGTCTCCTAGAAATTTCACTGAGGTAGAACAGGCACCTACATTTCTGTCAGGTTAATTTCCCACCCTCTAGCATAGACTCCTGGTGTGGCGCTGTAGGGTCGGCACTGGACTGCGAACCATATGGTCAGCAGTTCAAATTCACCAGCTGCTCCTCAGAAACCTTGAGGTCGCTGTGGGTCCATACCGACTCGACAGTACTTAACAACCACAGCAGCAGTGTGCAGATGTCTTCCAGTGAGTCTCGGGTCATTGATACCGCTTTACTAGACCCTCTCGGCATAACAGCGTCTGTGTACTTGACCAGTGTGACGGCTTCTGGAAGGGAAAGACCGTCACGGTCCCTGCAGTCTGAAGCAGGATAGATACGCCTTTGGGGTAGGACAGTGAAGGAGTATAGCTGGACTCACCAGACTGAGTCTGGGCTTCTTTCAGAACCAGAATTGAGAAAAAGACACTGGTCAGATTAATAGCTACATGCCAGCTACCAGGAAGATACAAGATTTGTTCAAGCAAAGAAACCGCATCTGGAACAGCAGCTGCAATCGGAGTAACCATCTGGCTAAATTTACAACAATCCCCTGTCATTTCCTGAGATCCCTTTCTTTTTGGACTCCTGGTGTGACGCTGTAGAATAAGCACTTGACTGCAAGGTTGGTTTGAACCACAAGGCCAGCGGTTCAAACTTACCAGCTACTCCTCAGAAAATCCACACAGTCGCTCTGTGTCACAATGGACATGCCGGCATTCACAACAACGTTTGTTTCAGCACAGGCCTAATAGACAAGATGGATGGAGGTGTGGGAGTCCCCACTGATCTCTGCAGGTCTTCCGGGAGGTGGGATTGCTGTTGGTTGCTGTTTGTCTGGCTAAGGGCAGTTCTTGTGACTTCCACTTGGCTTACCTACCATCCTTGCCTGTACACCATGTGTCAGGGATCCTGCCGGGTTTTCTGAGTAGCTCCCGTCCAATTATGCGTTCTGGAACTGGGGAAATCACGACAGAATGAGTTTGGGGACCCAGTGGATCTCCTGTGAGACAGACCCGAACTAAGACTCCATGAATAACTTGACCCCCTCTACCCCCACTCTGACAGGTGGGGCACGGTGACTTTTTGGGTCTCCTGGAATTACCGTTGATTCAGAGCCTGTGTCCATCAGTTCCCGAAAAGTCTGATGATTTCCTTTCCCCAGTGAACAGTCATGCTTGCAAAAGTCCGTAGGTCGCTTTGGGGACAGCTGGGAGAAAGATTCATAGTATAAATGTTTGGCAGTATAATTGGGGCCTTCCTCAAGGGGACCCACCGCCCTATCTATCGAGGAGTTCTGAGTCTGTAAACTGACTCAGATCTGGGAATTGATTGAGGGGCCATGCAAGTTAGAGTGTACAGATCAAGTGAATATTTAGTAGGGTTCCATCTATTTTTCTCCAGGGATACTCTGCCTAAGTAACCAGCGCTGCCAGTCCGCAGCCAACCATTCTGATGACCGCTTTGACTCTGCTGCCCATTACCGGAACCACACCCTTGTCTTTGTAGACTGAGTGCCCTACTTGGCCCCCACTACATGGGGTCCAATCAGCTTCATTGTAGTTTGGTGTCTTCAGTTCTTTTAGGGCAGTTCCCACCGTCAAATCTGACCTAGATAAAAAGGCAATTAGCAGTCTTCAAGGAGGCCCGGGCTCCCTTGACAAATTCCTTCTCACCGTTGTGAAAGGTGTGTCTTCTGGATACTCCATGTGTGGGTCTGTGGGTCTGTCCTGGTGAATCCACGTTACCAGGCCCATTTCTTAGGCCGGGGGTTACCTTCTTCTGCAGTATACCGAGACAGGTCTGGACTTTCAGCTTGATGTAGTGTGGGCCTCTGCTTAACCCCTTCCATAGTCCCAGGTTTCTGTGTGTACACATTAGAAAAAATCAGGCAGTTCTTACTGGAGTGTAGCATGCCTTGAATAGAACAAGGGGACATGGAGTGGTTTTAAATCAGTCTGTATGCTGAGCTAATCATCCGAGAAACTGGAATACATGAAGAAGAACGTGGCATCAGAATTGGAGGGAGACTCATAAACAACCTGTGATATGCAAATGATACAATCTTGTTTGCTAAAAGCGAAGAAGAGCATGAAATACTTGTTAAGTGCAGCCGAGCACCGGACCACAAGGTCAGTGGTTCAAGCTCACCAACCGCCTCAGTGCTTTTCCTACAGCACCACGCTGGGACTCAAAAAAAATACTAACTGATGAAGATTAAAGACCACAGCCTTCAGTATGGGTTGTACCTCAATATAAAGAAAGCAAAAATCCTCACACTGAGCCAATAAGTAACATCATGAAAAGTGGAGAAAAGTGTGAAGTTTTCAAAAACTGCATTTTGCTTGGAACCACTATTCAACACTCAAGAGATCAGACGACGTATTGCATTGGGCGAATCTGCTGCACAGGAACTTTTTAAAGTGTTGAAGAGCAGAGATGTCAGCTTGAGGACTAAGGTGCGCCTGACCCAGGCCATGGTGTTTTCAATAGCCTCATATGGATGTGAAAGCTGGACAGTGAATAAGGAAGATCGTAGAAGAATTGATGCCTTTGAGTTGTGGTGTTGGAGGAGAATATTAAAAAATACCATGGACTGCCGGAAGGACAATCAAATCTGTGTTGGAAGAAGTGCAAACTAGGATGCCCTTTAGAAGTCAGGATGGCGAGACTTTGTCTCTCAAACTTCACACATAATTATCAGGCGGGACCAGTCCCTGGAGAAGGACAGTGGAGGGTCAGAGAAAAAGAAGAAGACCCCCAATGAGATGGATTGGCACAGTGGCAGCAGCAATGGGCTTAAGTTTAATAACAATGGTGAGGATGACACAGGACCGGGCAGCGGGTCGTTCTGTTGACGTCAGGTCACTATGAGTTAGAGCCAACTCAACAACAACATCACATCTCCTCTGAGGATACTCTACTTCACCTCTTGGGACATGCTGAGACTTAATTTGTAGGTCTAGAAGCAAAACTGGGTGGCATGGTGAGTCCTGGGGACACTTAGCAATGAATGTCTTGTAAGGCATCTTCTTCAGGGGTTACCCAGACAAAGACACTTTAGGCACAGCTGGAGGTTATAGAGCTAATGGTTTTCCCGCGTGTATAGTTTAGCTAACAGATAGAGTGGTCGTTTCAGATGGGAGTAAGAGGCTGGGTCTATGGGCAGAAGTGATTCCGTTTAATTTAGGGACTGAGTGCCCCCAGCTTCCTGATGAGCCGCTCTGATGCCCCATCCTAAGTTTCAGGGCGGCATTTTCTTCCCAGTCAGTGCCTTCAGCCACCTTCCCAGGTTGGGGGTTCAATCTGCCTTGCCAGTCAGCTGCTCTGATGATCAGACTCTGAGCTTGGTTTTCTGTAACACCAGCTTGCTTTCAAGAAATAAGACTTCTTTAAAGGCACAAGTGGCTAATTTCAGGTCTTGCATGTGGCGTTCGAGCTGTGGCCCTGAACCTGTGAGCTGTCCCTTTCTTCCATCACATGTTTCAGGAGAGTAGCACCACCCATCCGGCTTCCCTGTGCTTCCCATGTGAACCGAAGGCTAGAAGAGGGTCTGCTGTGCCCTCACTCGGGGCCTTGTCTCACAAATGTGTGGCCCAGTGCCCGGGGGTGAGCAGCACCATCCTAACTTCAGTACCTTGAAGACCAGCCAGACTTGAGAACCAATTCAGAAAACTCATCCTTACTATGTAGGACCGCCAAAGCCACTTGGTGCTAAATGGCTTCGGCTGGCTTGTCTAGAGGAGCAAAACCAGTGAAGGGTATGTATAAGGGGTCTTCAGAAAGCTTGTGGAATAATAGAATGAAAAGATATGGAACTTTCCATGAACTTTTTGAAGCCCCCCTCCCTTGTATAAGGATAGATAGGTAGATAGCAGATGAGATAGGTAGGTAGGTAGGTAGATAGCAGATGAGATAGGTAGATAGGTAGGTAGCAGATGAGATAGGTAGGTAG